AGATTGGGAGATTGCAGAGCTCCAAGATTTGTTGGCACTGCTATATGGGCAAGACAGGCCCCAACCATCTTGTGATTCTTGGAGATGGGGGTTGTGTGGCGATGGTTTGTTCACCGTAATGTCCTTTTACCAGAGTATGTTAGTGAGAGAGGAAACCACTTTTCCATACTCCTCGATCTGGATTCCTAAGGCGCCCAAGAAGGTGTGCTTTTTTGCATGGCTAGCGACGAGAGGAGTGATCTTGACTGCGGAAAATCTGCGAAAGAGAGGAATTACACTTGTTAGTTAGTGCTACATGTGTAAAAGCTCAGAGGAAGAAGTTGATCATCTTTTGTTGCATTGTCCTGTGTCCTCGGGTTTGTGGAGGGCAATCATGAATCTTTTTGGTGTTCAATGGGTGATGCCAAGCACGGTAAAGGAAATGTTATATAGTTGGGCCGGTTTCCGTAGAAGAAGAAAGCAAAAGGCGTGGAAGTTCGCACCGTTAGCTCTCATGTGATAGTTTGGGGGGAGAGAAATAGGAGAGCTTTTGAGGGGATTGAGTCTCCTTTTTCACATCTTAAGAATAGTCTTTTATCTTTGATCGCTTTTTGGTGCACTCATATAGCCCCGACTTGTATAGAAGATTGGGCATCTTTTGTAGAGAATCATGTTCTGATATAAATTCTCTACTTTTTGGTATACTTGTACACGAGAGTTTTCTCTCTTTTGATTAATACAATTTACCTTATCAAAAAAAAAAAAACAGAACAAGACATACGAACATAGCAAACTAAGGAAAAAAGGGTATCGTACTAGCACTCATACTATCGAACTAGAGAAGACAAAGGGAAACACACGACTACCTACTAACCTTCTACCCTAATCTTCAACCTCCACACCCTTCGTTCAGATTTGTGAATATCTTGTAAATAAAGTGTATAACAATTAGGAATTAATTAGGATCTTTTGTATTAATTGGACTAAATTAGGATGATTACATGCATGCAATTATGTTTCTTTCCTACTTTAAAATATGTGTAAACATTACATAAAATCTAATGCCTGCGGAAATATCAAGCTGATGTATTCCCAAAAATTTTCCTTCTCTTTGACATCCTCTATTTTCTCTAAAATCAGAGTGGGAAGATCCTTTTCTTCTTAACCCCCCTCTCCGCCAATTACTGCTGTAAGGTTGTAGGACAGTAGTAATTATTGTCTCTTCTGCAGCTTTAGTAGAGTTATGGTTCATAGGCCAGAATATGATGCATTTGCTCAAGAACTCAACAAATTTTCCAGCCTGTTATCTAGTAGCGTGGATTGAGGTTGATGCGCAATCTGTTATGGAATTCAATCTTAAGCTACATAAGGGATTGATATATCTGCATCAAGCTAGGAACATAATGATATGTATGCTCCACCTGAATGTGGAGCTCTTGTTATTAAAGTGTACATCAATTAGGAATCAATAGATGATTTGCTTCGACTAGGAATCATTTAGGATGATACCATGCCCGTAAATATGATTCTTTTCCATTTTTAGGACTGTATAAACAGTATCCGAACCCTAATAACAAGCTGATATCTTCCTGAAAACGTCTCCCCTTATCTTTCTTATATCCCTTTCTCTTCCTTTCTACAGAGCGAATGCTGTTGCACAGTTTTTGTTTTGGAAAATCATGAGCAATTGCTAACTAAAAGTGACAATTGAATGCTCAATTTCCAGCTCTGTTAAGGTCCTTACGAGCTCTCCTTGCATGTGGAATACTCTTGCATTAATGGGGCTGAGTATATTGTGTTTAACATGGTCAAAGTTTTTTTGATAAGTAAAACATAGTCAAAACTCTCTGTTTCAAACTTTGTGATCTAATTTGGACTGGCTATTTCTATGATCAACTGATGATATACTCTGTTTACTGGTTCTTCCTCCTGTAGTTTGGGAAGAGTTGGTCTACTGTATCTATGATATCTCTCTTGCACAAGGCAATGAATCCCTTCTGTGGAAATTTTGCTTTTATTTGTTCCTTTTTTGATTGCTTAGATAACTGGAGATCATGGGAGAGCGAAGTTGGCACAATACCTATAAGGACAAAACTGCCTATGGGCTAATTGCTGTATATCGAGCTTTTAAACAGGACTGAATGTGAATATGCATCATTTGCTTAGACAAATCTTTTGATGCGCAACACCTGGAAATTAAATTACCACATAAATTTATGGTGTTGTTTTACTTTGCAAAATCCACTGATGATTGGTTCTACCTGTTTCATTTTACGTATGACACAAATTAAAGCTTTCAATTCTATAATTAATTCCTTTATGTTTCCCAGTTTTTTTTGCGCTTACTGCATAGCATAGTGTTAGGAAGTTAGTATAGTTTGATTGACATATGTATTTGTTTGATAGCTTAGTTTCGTGTTACCCAAACTGGATATGAAGTTTGTGCACCGTGAAGTGGGCCTTATGGTTGAGAATAACATTATGGGCATCCAACTGAAAGGCACAAAAACTCGATCATTTGAAGATGTTGGAGAAAGTACGCGGGTTGATGTTCAGATGGAGTTCAGTGAGATTCATGTATGTTTGTATTACTCAGTTCTTTCCAACTTTTTTTTGCTAAAATTTCTATTACTCAGATATTTCTCCTATTCTTGTACTCTTCTGTGCTAAATAAAAGTGCCTCTTTGTTATACCGTAGCTACTGAAAGATGGTGGCATATCAGTCGTGGAGATATTAAAACTTGATGTTGTCTCTTCAGTATATATTCCACTTCAGGTATGTGTTAAATTTACTTTGACCGCAGCATTTTCTATTCTCTCTCTCTCTCTCTCTCTCCCTTACCTTGTGCTATTTTCTGCGAACTGCTGCACCAGGAAATAAAATACAAAGTGGTACAATTGCTTCGTTCACTGTTTGAGAAGGCAAACTTGGACATGCTCTAGTCCTCTGAACCAAGATTCTTAAATTTTGAGACACTACAATCAGCATTATTGGATAATTAGCGCCCCCTCCCCCTAAACTTATTAGATAATACCTAGGTCAGGCTATTGGTTGCTGTATATACTTTTTCCTACAATTAGCATCATTTGAGAAGTAGCCCCAACCCCAACTTATTAAATTATACCTAGGATCGGGGTCTTGGTATATTTTCTTGTCTTTTCTACTTGCTCGATGACTTAACTTACATGCAAGGATTAGTGTCTATCCTGGGTGTTCTTCTAACTTATTGTAAAGACACTTTGGTGTAAAATAAAAAAGGGAAGCATGTAGAATTTAAACACATTCTATACTACTAACATTGTTTTTGATTAAGCGGTAAAACTTTTTTTATGATGGAGCAAAAAGACCTGTATACATGTAGTATACCAAAAAAGTAGAAAACCTAGAAAAAGATGTGGTTTTCTCAAAGGACACCCAATTTCTTAAACATATAGGTGCCTTATGGGTGCACTAAGAGGAAATAAGGGATTAGAGGCTATTTCTCAAATGTGTGAAATCATTCTCTGTTCCTTCAAAATCTCTCTTATTTCTATCTCTCCATACAACCCACTTAAGTGCTAGTGGAGCAACATCTCATGCCCTGTCTTCTCTTCCGTCTGCCAAAACTTCAGCTGAACATTGCTTCTTTCATAGTGCCTGACATCATCCAATGTAGTCCAAACCATCTCAGTATTTTCCACCATAACAGAAGCTACCCTACGATGTAGAAGGAGATGATCCATGTCTTCACTCGAGCACTTCAATAGGTGCAAGTAATCTTCCTTTTCTTCATATTCTTATCCATCAAGATCACCTCCTTGTTGCTAGCCAAGTGAGAAAACACACCTTTCTCGGTAACTTAGGATCCAGATGAAGAGACATGGAAAGGCTGCCTCCTTCCATGGTCACAAGCTTCTCATAATATGGCTTTAGAAAACACACACTATTATTGGCCGCCTACCTCCGTACATCATGGCTATCGGCGGTGTTTTGTTTTTGAATCAATTCAACAAGGCTTCAGAATTCTGCCACTCTCACTCTTGAAAGTTTCTCCCGAACCTCAAGTCCTGAATGATTCCTCCACCTTGTAGTCTCCAGAGCCTGTTGGACTGTTGTCTCCTTTTGACATGAATTCTATAAATGTTTGAAAATAGAATTCTCAGTGTATTGTTCCCGTATGCTAGCAACGTTAAAATTTCTAATTGAAATAGCTGCTGACAATCAATAGGTCGAGAATCAACATTAAATAATCTAATTTATCTAATTTTAATGAATGGTGAATGGATTAAAATGGACTTGAATGGAGAAGGAAGGATACATAGGGTTGACTTAGTTGAAAACAAAGGTATCCTTACCAAAACTTCGTATTTCTCAAATTATTGCTCAACAATTTAATCTATCTGTCTCTCAACTATAAGTACAACTCTCTTCCCCTCTTTTCTTTTAGTTTTTTCTACTGTCTCTTCTCCTGTTCCTCTTTGGAGTAACAAAGTGCATCACAGAATCACAAGCTCTTTGAATCAATTAATATCTCGTGAATAAACCGACAATGAATTCCAAATCATTGTCAAGATAATCTTCAGAGTTCTGTATGTAGTTCTATGTTTCTCTTCTTGATTTTATTCTGACTTTCTCCACTAGTATATTATGTTTTCTTGTGCTTTAAACTACTATATTTTTTTGTTTTATGTTTTATGTTTAATATTTAATTAAATAAAAAAAACTCTTTCTTAAGAAAAAAAATAATTATAGTTTTTCACAATATTAAATTTAAACTAGTTCTCTGTATAAATAATACAATTGTAAAATGAACCTTGATATTGTCTTTTTTTTTTTTGGTAATTTACACGCAGAAACACATGGACAAACATAATCTGTTTATCAAATAATTAAAAAGGCACATCTCAAATGAATTGGCCAAACACAAATTGTTACTCTCCAAAAATACTTCTCTGAAAAGCTATTTCGACAAAAGTGCTTCTGAACATGAGCATGTTTTTTTTTGCTGTTGAAAATTTGGCCAAACAGGCTCTTATTGTTGGTTCTATCCATAGTAAGAAAAACTGCTGTGAGCAATAAATTTTTTTAAAAATGTACAAGTTATTGCATATAAGTATATCTCTAGTTTACACATGTGACAAAATCTTTTTGGTTCCCAGACTGCTATTTGAACTGGTTCTTTTCATGGCATGTTCTCATTTGAGTTTGTATCATCTTTGATGCTTTCCCCATAGCATTCATTTTTTTCTTCAAGTTTTATATTATTCTCTCTCTTTTACCTATTCAATTGCTGAGGATTCTTTGCTTTACAGCCTGCTTCACCCATCAGATCAGAAGTTGATGTCAAGCTTGGGGGTACTCAGTGCAACCTGGTGATAACTAGATTACATCCGTGGATGCAACTTCATGCTTTGAGGAAAAGGAAAATGGTTCTTCGAGGAGAAAGTTCTACTCGTGAAAAATCACACTCTTCTGATCATAAAGCATTCATGTGGACCTCCACTATTTCGGCGCCAGAAATGACTGTAGTGCTCTATGATTTGGATGGCTCACCACTCTATCATGTAAGACCCTTTGAAATCAGATCCACATCTTTTACTCTTGTTAAAGGCATCTTTTTTTTGGTTTCTGACTTAAAAGGATGCTCTTATCCGTTTCAAAACCATCTGTATCTTTGTGTACTGAGGAAAAATGTTTTCTAAGCTCAGATTTAACCCTTTGTTTTTGCACGTAATCTATGTTTCAAACTTGTTCCTTTTAGCCTGAGAGCAATGCTGGGTATCTGAGGTAGTACATTTTGCCAAATGTGTGGGGCGAGTTTTTTTTTAGTTTCGCTATTGTCTAAAGCTATGATCTTTTGTGTCTTCGCACAGAAAATCGTAAAGTGATCCGAGCTCAACTAAGAAAGAAAATTCTTTTCATGAGCTTTCTAATCTGGCTATTTGGATAGTTTAGCTTGAGAGCAGTGTAGGATTTCTGAAACAGTATATTACCTCTGAGTATGTGGGGTAAGTTCGTGTTTTGACTTAACCATTGTGTAAAGCTATTTGTTTTTGAACTCTTTCTAACAATTTATGTCTTCTTAACGTACAAGGAAGGAGGTGGACTTTCTTGATTCGATTCTTTGTGGGCCTTTTCTATGTAATTTAGGGCATGTTGCCCTTTAATTTCATTCTTTCCTTTTAATGACAATTTCTATTCCATGCGAACTACTAAAAGTTAGACATCATAATAAACAGAGATAGTCAACTGTTCAGCTTGTGTCTGTAAAATCCTTGTTTACCAGAACCATGTTACTTCAACTTTTGTTTTAAATTGTGATGTCATGCTCCTTTGTAAATTGCAGGGTTGTTCACAGTCCTCACATGTCTTTGCCAATAATATATCAAGTACAGGTACAGTGGTGCACATGGAACTTGGTGAATTTAATCTGAACATGTCAGATGAGTATCGGGAATGCTTAAAAGAGAGCCTCTTTGGGGTTGAAACAAACATGGGTTCACTTATTTATATAGCAAAAATCAGTCTTGACTGGGGCAAGAAAGATATGGATTCACCTGAAGATTGTCTCAAGAATAAAACAGTTCTCTCTGTTGATGTTACTGGGATGGGTGTTCACTTAACCTTCCAGCGCATTGGGTCTCTGATGTCTACAGCTTTGTCTTTCAAGCGTTTACTGAAGAGTCTCTCTGGTTCTGGTAAGAAACCACATAACCAGGTGACGAAATCGTCCAAGCCATCTGGGAAAGGGATTCAACTCATCAAATTCAATCTAGAAAGATGTTCTTTAAATGTTTGTGGAGAAGTGGGTTTGGAAAATTCTGTTGTTCCTGATTACAAACGTGCCAACTATGGATCTCAGGGAGGTCGAATTGTAATTAGTGTTTCAGCTGATGGTACACCCCGCACTGCAACTATAAGATCTACGGCTCCAGTTGAGCTTAAAAAACTCAAGTATTCTGTGTCCCTTGATATTTTCCACCTAAGTCTATCCATGAACAAGGAGAAAAAATCTACACAAATGGAGCTTGAAAGAGCCAGATCAATCTATCAAGAACATTTGGAAGACAGTAACCTCCATGGAGCAAGAGTTACATTGCTTGACATGCAGAATGCAAAGTTTGTGAGGCGATCTGGTGGTCTTAAAGAGATTGCAGTGTGCTCACTCTTTAGTGCCACTGATATATCGGTCAGATGGGAGCCTGATGTACATATAGCTTTGGTTGAACTTGGGCTGCACTTGAAATTACTTCTGCACAATCAGAAGCTTCAGGAACTTGCTGAAGGTGACTGTAAAGATAATGGGCAGGGCACTGAGACTTCAATGGAGTCAGTACCATTGGAGAAACACAAGAAAAGAGAATCCATCTTTGCTATTGATGTGGAAATGCTTCATATAGCTGCAGAAGTTGGAGATGGTGTTGAGACAACTGTCCAGGTGCAGTCAATCTTTTCCGAAAATGCTCGGATAGGTGTGCTTCTTGAAGGGTTAATGCTCAACTTTAATAATGCAAGAGTGTTTAGAAGCAGTAGAATGCAAGTCTCTCGCATTCCAAATGCCTCTGGAAGTGCATCAGCTGCAAAACACGAGATAGGCACAACATGGGATTGGGTTATTCAAGCCCTTGATGTCCACATATGCATGCCATACAGGTTGGAATTGCGGGCCATCAATGATTCTGTTGAGGAAATGCTTCGAGCTTTAAAGCTTGTTACTGCTGCAAAAACTAAACTTTTGTTTCCCAATAAGGAAGAGAAACCAAAAGCTAAAGCAACTAGCGCATCAAAAATTGGACGAGTTCGATTTTGCATAAAGAAACTCACTGCTGATATTGAAGAACAACCAATACAGGGATGGCTTGATGAACATTATCAGTTGTTGAAGAAGGAGGCTTGTGAATTAGCTGTCAGATTAAACTTTATTGATGAGCTTATTGCGAAAGGTACCAAATCTCTTGGTGTTGCGGAGAAAAATGATTCTCTTGAAGATGGTAAGATCCACTTCAATGGAGAAGACATTGACGTGGATGACGCTTCAGCCATTCAGAAACTGCGAGAGGAGATCTATAAGCAGTCATTCCGGTCATACTACCAGGCATGCCAAAATCTTGTGCAATCGGAAGGATCTGGAGCCTGTAGTGAAGGGTTTCAAGGGGGTTTCAAGCCTAGCACTGCCAGAAGTTCTCTCTTTTCAATTTCTGCTACAGAGTTGGATGTAAGTTTGACAAGAATTGAAGGAGGTGATTTCGGGATGATAGAGATTCTGCAAAAGCTTGATCCAGTATGCCGTGCACATAGCATCCCATTTTCACGATTATATGGTAGTAATATCAATTTGCAGACGGGTTCCCTTGCTGTTCAGATAAGAAATTACACGTGCCCACTATTTGCTGCAACTTCTGGCAGATGTGAAGGACGTGTTATATTAGCTCAGCAGGTCTGATCGTTGCTCTTTTCCTGTTTTCTTCATCTTTAAACTATTAAACAAATCTTTTGGCGAAAATATTTCCACAAGAACTATTTGCAATTATGTGAAACCTATACAAATGATTTCTTTCTGAAGGATGTGACAGCCAAATTGGCGCCCATCATAAAAAAGAAGCAGGTAGATGCACCATCTAGTATCTTGTAATAAGACCCACTGAATTACCAATGCTAAGATATGGATCAATTCAAACAATTCTTTTTTAATTTTTAATTTTTAATTTGGGAAAAGGTTCAAATTTGCCTTCGTTAATAGTTGAGGTGAGATCTACCATTGCAGTTGCAAAAATGGGCTAGATTTACCCTTGTTGAATAATGGTCAATTATTATGACTAATCACCATTAACCCATAGTTTAGGGGAAAATCTAGGCCATTTCGCATAGTTTATGCGCAAATTTGGATCTTTTCCCAACTTCTAAATCATAAATCCTAAACCATCGCATTACCTCCTGCATGCACAGCCGCCAGGAGACCCTTCTTCGACCAGCTGTCTCCACCATTGACACCCACTTACAGACGTCCCATTCATCATAAAATCCCTCCACTTCTCCTCCGCTTCGCCACACTGCACCAAACCTCCTTTCATGCCTGACTGCGTAAAAATTTGCTCAATAGCTCCTTCCATTCACAAGAAAATAGCCACATTTTCCATTTTATCTCCACTGACTCACCTCTCGGCCATACTCATTCCATTGTCGATACCACCTTCAATTCAAAAAATTCATGACTGAACAGTATCACCTTGGTTTCATCTCCTCCAGTACCAAAGCAGACATCCGTATCTTCCTAGTTTCCCATTCTCCCTACACAACTCAAAAGCTCTGTTATCTGTAGTTTTTAAAAACTCCTGAAACTTTCAGTAAATTTTTGCCTCGGATTGTTTGGATATGATTATTTTGAGTTGATCTAGATTGATCAGATGTGGTTTGATTAATTCGACTTCATTGTCATTATTATCTACAGGTTAGGGATGTAACTTTTTCTAGAATCAGTTGTTTACAAAGTTGTAAATGTAATCACTACAATTTCCTAGCCAAACTCCATACTCGAGGGAACTTTCAAGTTTTTCCATTGTTTCCAATCTTTTCTTCCTATTCTACAATCAAGTGACTGAAATGCTACCTTGTGCAAGTTAGCATTGGCAGCAAGACTTTATTGGAGATAGCATTATGTTTAACTTTGCTTCTTTGCATTGGAGTATCGTGTTAAAGTGGCAAGCTATATTATATTCCTCATTCTACAGTATTTTATTCTTGAGAAGTATATTAGTTTGTTTTAGAATGTTTTGAATTTTGACGACAGACTTGTTAACACAAAATCAACCTTTTTATCCATGTTGCGTGCAGGCAACATGTTTTCAGCCTCAAATCCACCAAAATGTGTACATTGGGAGATGGAGGAAG